ATATATGAATATGTGGCCAGTGTAACTCTATATCATGTACAAACACAAAAATGGGAAGTTATACTCCATGTATAACTCCATGTATGATATGTCAAAACACATTCTATTGTCATGTATAATTAAAAAGAACAAATTAAAAAAGACAAAATTAGAGCTTTATAATTATACATAGTAGTTGGGTTCATTCTGACGAACTCATACATGCAAGGAAATTGATTTCAGTTCATGATGCCCCCTTCCCCTATCCCTTTCCCCTCCCCCTTTCCCCTCCACTCTCCCATTCTCCTTCCTCTACTCTACTATAGTTCCTTTTGCTCATCTGTTAATTTATATTTGAGTGGTTATTTATGTTATCTTATTCTTCCCTCCCCCTTTCTTTTATTTTATTCTAGCTTTTACATGAAAGAAAACATTTGAGCTTTGAGTTTCTGAGTTTGACTTATCTCATTTAGCATGATATTATTCATTTCTATCCATTTACAGGCAAATACTATAGTTTCTTTTCCTTTTTTTTTTTTTTTGGTTCTGGGGATTGAACTTAGTGAATGCTTAACCAATGAGTCACATCCCCAACCTTTTTTTATTTTTTTTTAAATTTTTTATTGTTGGTTATTCAAAACATTACATAGTTCTTGATATATCATATTTCACCCTTTGATTCAAGTGGGTTATGAGCTCCCATTTTTACCCCATCTACAGATTGCAGAATCACATCAGTTACACATCCATTGCCCAACCTTTTTTTAAAAAAATTATTTTTATTAGAGACAGGGTCTTGCTGATTTTGCTTAGGTCCTCACTAATTTGCTGAGGCTGGCTTTGAACTCACAATCTTCCTGCTTCAGTCTCCCGATCTGCTGGGATTACAGGTGTATGCCACTGCGTCCAGCATCAACCATAATTTCATTCTTCTTTATGGCTGAGTAGAACTCCATTGTGTGTGTGTGTGTGTGTGTGTATATATATATATATATACACACACATACATATATACATATATATATACACACACACACACACACACACACACACACATATATATATATGTAGAAAAATATATATCTTTTGGGAAAATACCAAGGAGTGGGGGTCATATGGTGGTTCCATCCCTATATCTTTTTTTGGAATTTCCATATTTCTTTTCATAGTGGTTGTACTAGTTTGCAAAAGCGAAAGCACACAAGTGTACTTTTCTCCCCACAACCTTGCAGCATTTATTATTGTTTGTATTCTTCATTATTAGATACTTTATTTTTAAAAAATTTCCCCCAAAATCCAAATTGTCACTAAGCAGCAACTCTATTCTTACTGGGAGAAAAATCAAATATTTTACAACTATTTTCTGAAATTCTGGAATTAAGGAGACACAGGCTATTATGGAAAGAGCTGAATTCAGGATGAAAAGAAAATTAAGTTTCTCAAGTCTGAAAATACAAGGCTTCAAGGCAAAGATACAACTACTTTTGAGTTTATTGCAAGAATATCCTTTAAGGAGTCTTCTGTATCTTTTGAGAAAAAGCCAGGGTCTAGTGCAATGCCTACCTTCTCATCAGAGGTCACAGAAGTCTGGAGAAAACTTGTCACAGATTGTATAGAAGCTGATGGTCCTGACATATTCATTACCCACCATTCCCCATCAGGACACCTTCCATAAGTAACAATATAGAAGACAAAGTTCCCACAAAATGGCTTGGGAGCAGAATGTGATCCTAAGGAGTCCCTGCAGCTTGGCCCATGCTTATGATCTAGCTCCAGTAGCCTTTTATTTATTTATTTAAAATATCTATTTATCACAGGAATTGACAAAACTCAGCAGCAAAAAATGTGCTATCTTTGTGGAACACCTCCTCAAAAGCCATTCTCAAGTCTATAATGATTCTCCTCTACAAGTCACTTATATGTGAACAAACAATATAACAAGAAAATAATCCCATTATCATCAGAACCTGTTTTTAAAGGTCATGATTCTGAAAGTGAAAGGAAAAATGGGATTGTGAGTAGCAAATATATTGAGTAAATAGTAATAAAAATATTTTTCCACAGTTTAAGATGCTAGAATGAGAGGTATTGGGTCGGAGCATGCTTCCTGGGAAGAAGGATGAAAACAGGATTAGACAGAGTTACTAATTTGGACAAGGAAACTTGCAGAGTGAAATATGCAAGTGAAAAAGGAGAAATGGGATGATAAAATCTTAATGTAAGATGCATGAGAGCAACTGTGAAATGTCAAGAGCAAGTATGAAAGTATCTCAAAAAAGTGTTCCCTGAAATGGCACTCTTATTCCTAATGAAAACTGATCTTTTCCAGAATCCTCCACTTCCATAAATGGCCTTGTCATCAATGCAACTAAATCCAAACCCCTTAGAATCAGACTCAATTTTCCCTGTCATTTCACATATCCAATATAGCATTAGAAAGTCCCTGATTTGTCATATTGGCTGCCTTGGAAACCTAAGCTTTTCTTGAAAACCTTTCCTTGAAAACCTAAGCTTTTTATTTTTTATTTTATTTTATTTTATTTTTTTTATTGGTTGTTCAAAACATTATAAAGCTCTTGACATATCATATTTCATACATTAGATTCAAGTTGGTTATGAACTCCCAATTTTACCCCAAATACAGATTGCAGAATCACATCGGTTACACATCCACATTTTTACATAATGCCCTATTAGTAACTGTTGTATTCTGCTACCTTTCCTATCCTCTACTATCCCCCCTCCCTCCCCTCCCATCTTCTCTCTCTACCCCATCCACTGTAATTCATTTCTCTCCTTGTTTATTTTCCCATTCCCCTCACAACCTCTTATATGTAATTTTGTATAACAATGAGGGACTCCCTCCATTACCATGCAATTTCCCTTTTCTCTCCCTTTCCATCCCACCTCATGTAACCTAAGCTTTTTAAACATGCCGCTTTCTCAGCCTGGAATGCTTGTCCCCCAGCTCTTAATACTCATTTTAGCTCAGAGGTTGCTTTCTCAGAAGCCTTCCCTCAGCCCTTGATCTGAAGTATACCTTCCTCTCCAGACAGGCTATCCCAAAGTCTGATTTATTTCCTTCATAGTAGTTTTTTAAACCAACCTTGTGTATTTATCTGTTTTACATGCTTATTGTTTGTCTTTAGCCACTTGAATGAAGGCTTAGCCTTTTCTGAATGGGTACATGTTGAATTCCAAAGGGGCCAATACAATTTGTCAGATGTATGGCAGGTCTCAAGCAATACTGACTGCACAATTATCAGGGGAAAACTTCTGTGATGCTTTCTACAGTATCTCTAAGCAATTAATTCAGGGGCTCATATAGAATCTTGTGCATTTAACTCAACTTTTGTGCTTTCAATTATGATAGGGGTAACAAGTGCTAGGGTTCTGAGAACAGAATCTAGGTCCTAGCTCTCACATTACACTCAGCACCCTGTTCTACATCTGTGTTTTTGCCTACTTCCCCTTAGGATACTGCGGATGTGTTCTTCAAGGGCTTGGATGGTCTTACTCTTTTTTGCATCTTAGTACCCAGAAATAATGGTGACTCCTCAGTTGATATTTGTATAAAGGATGGTAGAAATGAGACTTGTGGCTTCAGATTTTTACAAAACATGCAGAGAACCGGCAGAGTATACACATAATCTATGACTTGATTTTGACCTTTCAATTTATTCTTCTGAAGAACAAAAACACAGGCCCTATACTTGGTATAGATGATGTAAAATTAAAAGAAGAAGAGAAATAGCAGAACTACTTTGCTGCCATTTTTATTTTATTGGTATGTGGAAAGGATGGGAAGATATTGTGGAAAAACAACACAAAAAAGTACAAGAAAAGACAGGGACAGAATGAAAAAGCATGGTTTTGCTTCAAGTTCCCAGAGGACACAACAGCTTTCTGGGAAACTTCTGAGCAAAAAAGAGACCAATAGTGTTATATGTGGTTCTCTATAACAGAAGCAGTAGCCATAAAAAGACGTTACCAGATAGTGAAGTTAAAGACAGTTCCATGTGTTATGGTTTGGATATGAGGTGTCTCCTAAAAGCTCATGTGTGAGACAATGCAAGAAGGTTTATAAAATAAATGATTGGGTTATGATAATCTTAACCCAATCAGTGAATTAATCCCTTTGATGGGATTAACTGAGTGGTAACTGAAGGCAAGTTGGGTGTGGCTGGAGAAGGTGGGGCATTGGGGGCATTCCTTTGAGGTATATATTTTATATATGATGAGTGGAGTCTCTCTCTCTGCTTTCTGATCATCTTGTGAAAGCTTCCCTCTACCATACTCTTCTGCCATGCTATTCATCCTCACGTTGAGCCCTGAGGAAGGGAGCCAGTTATCAATGGACTGAGACCTCTGAAACTATGAGCCCTCAAAAAAAAACTTTTTTTTCCTCTACAGTTGTTCTGGTCAGATTTTTTAGTCATAGCAGCGAAAAAGCTGACTAAAAGACCATGTCAACTAGAATCACCCCCCAATGTAAAAACAGGGTACATTGTCAGGGAACTTGTTTGAGTAGGGGTTCTAACAGGTGGCCTAGACCATGGAAAAATCAAGTTTCTTCCTAAGGCTAAGGTTTTTAAATGATCTTCTTTTCAATATACCCACATACATTTAGTTCTTTTTAATAAAATATTTCCAAAAAATACTGTTTAGTAACCACCAAAGAAGGAAACAGTGTTAGAAAATCTTAATTCTAATCAATATTATTATCAACATTGGCTTAGAAGGCGTTAACAATATTTTAGTCAGTGGACTGGACTGATACTGATCTGGCAAGAGAAAATGACCAGCAGCCATGTATACATTATCCTTCCTTCCCACTTCAGTATTATCAGGAATAAAGATCTTCTGGGCACAATTGAGGTAAAGAAACAGAAATTATGTGGATCAAAGCAGTCATTCCTGAAAGCAGGATATCTACACTTGTTTTGCACACTATACCACTGAAATTACTCACATTAACTTCAGGTTTGGTCTCCTTATGTATGGTAAACTCAATACATTACCCGCATGGCTTCCTGAATATGGTCCTGCCGAATCAGTTCTGCTGAACAGTCCATATACCACTTCAAACAGCGGATGAGCTCCCTAGAAAAGAGAAAAGTTACAGAGATCCCACTTCAGTCTAAAGGCAATGCAGACTAAAATGTTTAATTAGTCAAACAGGAAATTCAGCACTGAATTAGTCAAATAGGAAATAATATTCTGTTGATGAGCTAGAATGAGGTAATGAATCCATTTCAGCTGTGGAATTTTGAGATTATCTGAGACAAATATTCCTTACCCATAAGGCATTGCCCAAATTTTAATCAGCAATTACCATCACTCTTTCCCATTCTCCTCTTCTCAAAGACTTGGACTGAATGTATACTTTGTTTCCCTTTAAAGCCTGTCTTCAGAACCTACAGCACTGATTGGTAAACAATGGACTCTGAATTAAAGCAAACAGTTCCATATGTCATCCCATCCCATCTACTTCATTTCCTGAGGACTGAGTCACCCAAGAGGAATGGAATTTCTGGGTCAGTAGGTCTACATATTTATATGGCAAGAGACCACAGAAGAAAGAAAGAGTACAGATTGTGGTCACATCTGAGACCAATCAGTATCTAGTCCTGCATCCTTAGGCAAGTTATGTCCTTCACTGTGCCTCATTCTTTTAATTTAAAATATGGAGAAAATAACAGTACATCTCAAACACAAAGTACTTAGTGCAGTATCTGCTCTCCAAAATTATATCAAAGTATCAGAATTCCAATGACTCCACAGCATTGCCACTGTTGGGTTTTATTTATGTTTCAACAACTGTGCTATTAATTTCACTTAGGAATAAATATAACTAAGGAGGTAAAAGATCTCTAAATTGAAAATTATAAAACACTGAAGAAATAAATTGAAGAAGAACTTACAAGATGAAAAGACCTAACATGTTCATGAATAGTCAGAATTAATATCTTCAAATGATCATATTACCAAAAGCAATCTACAGATTCAATGAAATCCCCATCAAAATACCAATGACAATCTTCACAGCACTAAAATTTACATGGAAGAATAAAAGAGTCAGGATGGCCTAAGCAATCCTGTGCAACAAGAGTGAGACTGGAGGCATCACAATACCTGATATCAATTTATACTACAGAGCTATAGAAACAAAAAGAGCATGATGTTGGCATAAAATCAGGTATGAAGGCCAATGGAATATACTAGAAAACACAGAAACCTACATAAATTCAGTCATTTGATCCTTGACAAACTTGACAAAAGCATACTTTAGAGAAAAGACAACACTTTAAACAAATTGGTGCTGAGAAAACTGGATAGCTATATGTAGAAGAATAAAACTAGATTTCCTACCTCTCACCCTGCACAAAAATCAACTCAAAGTGGGCCAAAGACCTAGGAATTATGTCAGAAACAGTGAAACAGCTAGAATAAAACATAGGAACAATGCTCCAACACATAGGCATGTGTTGCCTGTGTGTTGGTCATGGGCACCAATTACCTTAATAAGACTCCTGAAGCTCGAGAAATAAAACCAAGAATCAATAAGTGGGATAGCCTTAAATAGCTTCTGGGTTGGGGATATAGATTGGTGGTCAAGTACTTTCCTGCAGGCAAGAAGCCCAGCAACACAGGGGGGAATATCTGGACAAATGAAAAAGCTTCTACACAGCAAAGGGAAAAATCAAGAACATGAAGAGAGAGAGCTACAGAATGGGAGAAAAATCTTTGCTTGTTATGTGGTATATACACAATGAAGTTCTACTCAGCCATAAAGAATAATTAAATTATGTCATTACTGGCAATGCATAAAACTGGAAAGCATCATGCTAAGTGAAATAAACCAGACTCAGAGAATCAAAGGTTGAATATTTTCTCTCATATGTGGAAGCTAAAGAAAAAAAAGAAATTTTAAAAAGAGTATCTCAATAATAGAAGGGAGATCAGCACAGTAGAAGCAGGGGACCAAGGAGGAGGGAGGAGGGGAAGAACAGGGGAGTAAAGTTGACTGAATCATGCTATGAGCATGTAATGAATATATCACAATGCATTCCAATTTTCTATATAACTAAAATGCACCAATTAAAAAACAATTAAATAAATAGAAGGAAGATTAATAGAGTAAAGAAAGAAGAACAGGGGTGGATAAGGAGAGGGAAAGGGGTAGCATTGGGGATTGAAGTGGAGAAAATTATGTTATATGCATTTATGAATATGTCAAAATGAATCCCATTGTTATTTATAATTGTAATGAACTAAAAAATAAAAAACAATTTTAATTTGTGCTAATTTCATAAAAGAAATGGTTATTTCTTATTGTTTCAATTGTCTTAGATAATATGTTTCCCATATTTGTTTATCAATTACATTATTTTTTTTAGTGACTGTCTATTTTTTTTGGCATTTACTTGAGAATGCTGTATTTAACTACTCAGATGTTTCTCATAGGAAAAGTAAGACTTATTATTAGCAACCTCACCATCATTTCTTAGAAGGAAAAGTACATCAACTATGTAATAAACTATGGTTTAAAATGTCAGCCGAAAGCCCACAGTTAACATCATACCCAAAAGTGAAAGACTGAAAGCTTTTCCTCTAAGATCAAAAATAAGACAAGGATGCTTGCTTTTGCCACTTTTTTTCCCCAACATGTGCTGGGATTTCAACCCAGAGCAATAATTAAGAAAAAAATAAATAAAAGGTACCCAAATTAGAAAGCAGAATGAAAAATTATCTCTGTTTTCAGGTGACATGATCTCAAATGTACAAACACTAAAGACTCCACTGGAGGCTGGTTACAGTGGTACATGCCTGTAATTTCAGCAATTTGGGAGGCAGAGGCAGGAGAATTGCAAATTTGCACCCAACCTTGACAACATAGCAAGACCCCGACTCAAAAAAAAAAAAAAAAAAGTGCTGGGGATGTAGCTCAGTAGTAGACTACCCATGGATTCAATCCCCAGTGCTGGTGAAAAAAAAAGTTAGACTAATAAATGAATTCAGCAAAGTTTCAGGACACAAAACAGCACAGAAAAAATGAGTTGTGTTTCTGTATACTAACAATGAACAATCTGAAAAAAATTCCATTTATAATAGCATCAAAAGGAATAAAATATTAGGAATAAAGGTAAGGAGGTGAAAGACTTGTACACAAATAGCTACCCAATATTGCTAAAAGAAATTAAAGAAAAGACCTATACACGGAAAGACATCCCATGTTCATATATTGAAAGACTTAATGATGCTAAGATGTCAATACTTTTTTCTTTCAGAAATAGAAAATGCCATGCTAAGATTCATATGGAATCTCAAGGACACAGAATAGCCAAAACCATCTTGAAGAAAAAGAACAAAAGTCTCATACTTCTTGATTTCAAAACTTAGTACAAAGCTATTGAAATTAAAACAATGTTGTACTGACATAAAGACAGATATCTACAATAGTGGGATAAAACATCCTGGAAATAAACCTTCCCATGGATGGCCAAATAATTTTCAACAAGAATGTCTAGTCCATTCAATGAGAAAAAGACCAACAAATGATACTGGGAAAATTGTGTATCCATGTGCAAAATGAATAAAGTTTGAAACTTTTCTTATACAATATACAAAATTAACTCAAAATGGAGCAAAAACTGGACAAAAAAAACCTCCTGAAAGAAAACAGGGGGAAAGCTTCATGACACTGGATTTAGCAATGATTATTTATAAATCATACAACTTACAAGATGCCAATACCCGGAGAATATAAAGAACTCCTACATCTCTATGACAACAACAACAAAAAAATCTGATTAAAAATAACAAAAGATAGATATTTCTCCAAAGAAGACATATAAACGGCTAATAAGCAAACAAAAAGATACTCAACATCACTAAGTATTAGGGAAATGCAAATGCAAATGACAAAAAGATACCACTTCACACAAATTAGGATGGCTACTATCAAAAAACCAGGTAATGGGGCTGGTGATAGAGCTCAGTTGGTAGAGTGCTTGCCTCCCATGCACAAGGCCCTGAGTTCAATCCCCAGCACCACACACACACACACACACACACACACAAAACAAACAAACAAACAAACAAAAAAGCCCCAAACAAACAAAAAACAAACAGGTAATAGCAAGTATCAGTGAGATGTGGAGAAATTATAAACTATGTGTTCTGTTGGGAATATAAAATGGTGCAGCTACTAATGAAAACAATATGGTTATTTCTCAAAAAATTAAACAGAATTTCTATATGATCCAGACATTCCACTTTTGAGTGAATACCTAAAGAAGTAAAATCAGGGTCTTGAAAATATATTTGTAGAGGTCTGACCTACACAGCGTGGCCTGCCAATCCAGAGAGGAACACAACGCTGTTGTTTCCTATTCACCAACATGTGGCTCCACCCAAACTGCCTCCATTTTGGGACATTGCAGTCACTGTCATAGCCCTCACCATGCAGTAATCTCCACCACGGGACATCAAACAGGGCCAAGAGGCAGCTGCCCATTGCAGCACTGTATGCCACACTGCAGCATCACTAAATAGGCCACCCAATGCCATGGTACAGTCCATCCTTTCAGCCCCATCTCTGAAAGTGGTTGCCTCCATCTTGGGACACCTCCACTGCCATCTTGGGTTACTTATGCTGCCTCTTCCACCATCTTTAGTTGGGGCAGCTTCCACCTTGGGACACTGACTAGGATCTGGAAGCCCAACATCAAGGTACCTACAGGCTTGATGCTACTGCCACCACCAACTAGGGACATGGCCGCTTCCATCTAGAGACAACAACCAGGACTTGGAAAACCATCACCAAGGCCCATGCACCAGAGGTATCTCTACTAGGTGCGTTAACAGACACTATCCTGTTGCAGAGGTACTGGGGAGCCTTGGATGGGGTTGCCTCTCTTGTTTTTCCTCCTGATAACAGCCAACTTCTTTTGACTACCTTTAATTAGTCCTATGATCTAATACCTCTATATTCTCATGTCCTACTTCATAAACATCACAGCCTACCCCTCTGTCTGTCTACCATTAGGAACTGTAAACCATTATGCAAACTTACTGGTTATATGGTAGAAGATAACTGAACTCATCATTTCTGTTTATAGTTTCCAAATAGAAGCTAATTGATTTATGGCTGCATATTGGTTGTATTGGGTGCTATTAACATTGATATACCCTCCCCTCACTTAAAGGTGAGATATTGGCAAACTACAGGGATACTACAAGACTATAAGGTAGAAGCTGCAATAGATCTGCACTGCAAGAGAGGAAGACACATAGACAACATGAAAAAACAAGAGAGAAAGTACCCCAAACCAAGATACTACAACAATAGAATCCATCAACAGTGCAGTAGATGAAATGTCAGAGGAGTTCAGAATGTATATAATTAAAATGGTCTGCGAATTAAAGAATTATCTAAGTGAGCAAATACAGGCAAAAATTGATCACTCTCAACAAAGAGATAAGAGAGCAAATACAGGTAGAAGATGATTATTTCAAGAAAGAGATGGAGATTCTGAAAAACAAACAAACAAACAGAAATCCTGTAAATAAAAGGAAACAATAAACCAAATAAAAAACTCAAGCATCACCAACAGACTAGATCACCTGGAAAACACAACCTCAGACAATTAATACAAAATATACAATCTTGAAAATAAAGTTAACCACACAGTGAAGATGGTAAGAAACCATGAACAGAACATCCAAGAATTATGGGATAACATCAAAAGACCAAATCTAAGATTTATTGGGATAGAGGAAGGCACAGAGATTCAAACCAAAGGAATGCACAATCTCTTCAATGAAATTGAAAGAACGAACAAGGCTCATCATCGGAGCAAATGCCTGTTTATTGAGGAACAGATCTGCATATTTATAGAGCCAGGGGTCGTTTGACAGTTGGCATGGGGTGCTTTCTGATTGGTGGGTAGGATCAGGTGAGCCAGCAGGGCTCACCATTGGACAGCTCTTCTTGGGGGATGTGGAAGTTAGTCTTTGGAGCCGGGGCGACTCCCAACAGAAATAATATCAGAAAATTTCCCAAACATGAAGAATGAATTGGAAAATCAAATACAAGAGGCTTACAGGATATCAAATGTATAAAATCACAACAGATCTACACCAAGGCACATTATAATGAAAATGCCTAGAATGCAGAATAAGGATAGAATTTTAGAGGCTGCAAGAGAGGAATCAAAGACCAATTTGGATCTCAGCAGATTTTTCAACACAGACCCTCAAAGCAAGAGATCTGGAACAATATATATCAAGCTCTGAAAGAAAATGGATGCCAAGCAAGAATTTTATATCCAGCAAAATTAAGCTTCAGATTTGATGATGAAATAAACAAGAGTTAAAAGAATTTACAGCAAGAAAGCTGGCACTACAGAATATTCTTGGCAATATTGTTTTTCATTTCCTCTTCATGGGTGAAGAGGAAATGAAAAACAACAATGAAAAATCTGCAAAGGGAAGAACTACACTAAAGGAAAGTCCAATCAAAGAAGAAACCATGTGATGTTAAAAAAAACAAAAATAAACTAAAATGACTGGGAATACAAACCATGTCTCAATAATATCCCTGAATGTCAATGGCCTAAATTCATCAATTAAAAGACATAGACTGTGGCGAGGATGCGGGAAAAAAGTACACTTATACATTGCTGGTGGGACTGCAAATTGGTGCAGCCAATTTGGAAAGCAGTATGGAGATTCCTTGGAAAGCTGGGAATGGAACCACCATTTGACCCAGCTATCCCCCTTCTTGGACTATACCCAAAAGACCTAAAAAGAGCATACTACAGGAACACAGCCACATCAGTGTTTATAGCAGCACAATTCACGATAGCTAGATTGTGGAACCAACCTAGATCCCTTCAATAGATGAATGGATGAAAAAAGTGGCATTTATATACAATGGAATATTACTCAGCACTAAAACATAACAAGATCATGGCATTTGCAGGGAAATGGATGGCATTAGAGCAGATTATGCTAAGTGAAGTTAGCCAATCCCTAAAAATGCTGAATGTCTTCTCTGATATAAGGGGGGTGACTCAAAATGGGACAGGGAGGAAGAGCATGAGAAGAAGATTACCACTAAATAGGGAAGAGAGGTGGGAGGGAAACGGAGGGAGAAGGGGATTTGCACGGAAGATGGAAGGAGACTCTCATCGTTATACAGAATACATGTATGATGTTGTGAGGAGAAAACAAAAAAGAGAAGTGTGTCTCATTAGATTGGGAGGGGAAGGGAAGGGGGGATAGGAAGGGCAGCAGAATAAAATAGAAATTACTGACTATATGACCAATGTGATTCTGCAACCTGTACAATCAGAAAAATGAGAAATTATACTTAGAGGATCCAAAATTTCCAACCAGAAAACTTCTAGAATTAATAAATGAATTCAGCCAAGTAGCAGGATATAAAATCAATACTCATAAATCAAATGCAATTCTATATATCAGTGATGAATCCTCTGAAAGACAAATTAGGAAAACTACCCCATTCATAATAACCTAAAAAGCTTGGAAATCAATCTAACAAGTGAAGTGAAAGACTTCAACAGTGAAAACTACAGAACACTAAAGAAAGAAATTGAAGAAGACCTCAGAAGATGGAAAGATCTCCCATGTTCTTGGATAGGCAGAATCAATATTGTCAAAATGGCCATACTACCCAAAGTGCTACACAGATTCAATGTGATTCTAGTTAAAATCCCAATGTCATTCCTTATAGAAATAGAAAAAGCAATCATGAAAATCACTTAGAAAAATAAGAGATCCAGAATAGCCAAAGCAATCCTTAGTAACAAGAGTGAAGCAGGAGACATCACAATCTTGAAGATATTGATAAATTTCTAGAGGCATATGACCGACCCAACTTGAATCAAGAGGACAAAGAATATTTAAATAGATCATTTCAAATAAAAAAATGTAACAAAGAAAGAAAATTTAAACAGATCAATTTCAAGCAATGAAACTGAAGATGCTCTCAAACGCCTACCCACATAAATACCTCATAGTCAACAAAGATGCCAAAAACATGTATTGGAGAAAAGATAGCCTATTCAACAAATGCTGCTGGGAAAACTGGAAATCCATATGCAGCAAAATGAAACTAAACTAAACCCCTATCACTCATCATGCAAAAATCTCAAAGTGGATTAAGGACCTAGGAATTAGACCAGAGATCCTATCCCTAATAAAAGAAAAAGTAGGCCTGAATCTTCATCATGTCAAATTAGGCCCTGACTTCCTTAAAAAGACTCCTAAAGCGTAAGAAATAAAATAAAGAATTAATAAATGGGATGGATTCAAACTGAAAAACTTCTTTTCAGCAAAAGAAATAGTAAGGTGAAAAGAGAAAGCCTACAGAATGCGAGCAAATTTTTACCACATGCACATCAGATAGAGCACTAATCTCTAGGATATATAAAGATCCCCCCCAAAACTTAACACCAAAAAGCAAACAACCCAATCAACAAATGGGCTAAGAAACTGAACAGACACTTCTCAGAAGAAGAAATACAATCGATCAACAAATATATGAAAAAAATGTTCAACGTTTACAGAAATGCAAATTAAAACTACTCAAGATTCAGTTCACTCTAGTCTGAATGGCAGTTATCAAGAATACAAGCAACAGTAAATGTTGGCGAGGATGTGGGGGAAAGGCACACTCATATATTTCTGGTGGGACTGAAAATTAGTGCAATCAATCTGGAAAGCAGTATGGAGATTCCTTAGAAAACTTGGAATGGAACAACCATTTGACCCAGCTATCCCACTCCTTGGTCTATACCCTAAAGACTTAAAAACAGCATACTAGTACCACAGACACTTCAATGTTTTAGCAGCATAATTCATGATTTTTAAACTATGGAAGCAACTTAGATGCCCTTCAATAGATGAATGGATAAAGAAATTGTGATACATATACACAATGGAATATTTCTCAGCATTAAAAGAGAATAAAATTATGGCATTTGCAGGTAAATGGATGGAGTTAGAGAATATCATGCTATATGAAATAAGTCAATTTCAAAATACCAGGGACCAAATGTTTTCTCTTATAAGTGAATGCTAATCCATATGGAGGGGGGTGCACAGGGATAAGTGGAGGAACTTTGGATGGGGCAAAGGGGAGAGGGTAGGGGACAAAGAGGTAGGAAAAATGGTTGAATGAGATTGATATCACTGGTACATGTATGATTGCACAAATGGTGTGGCTCTGCTTCATGTACAACTAGAGAACTGAAAAATTCTGCTCCATTTGTGTACAATGAATCACAGAGCTTCTTACTGTCATGTATAACTGATTAGAACTAATAAATAAATAAATACATAAACAACAACAAAAAAGATATATTTGTACATTCATATTCATTGGAGCACTTTTAAAAAATGCCAAAAGGTAGAAGTAATCCACTTGTCCATCAATGGATAGACAGATGAATAGATAAAATGTGATTGATTTTATATAAAAATATATAAATAAATATATATACATATATAATATGATCTGACAAATGCTACAACATGGATGAAATCTGAAGAAATTATGTTCATTGAAATATCTACTCACAAAAGGACAAATACACTATGATTCTTCCTACATGAGGAACTTAGAGTAATCAAAATTCATAGAGATAGAGAGTAGAATGGTGGTTTCTAGGGGCTGGGAGAAATGGGGAATAGAGTTATTGTTAACTGTTACAGAGTTTCAGCTTTATATAATGAAGAGTTCTGGAGATGGATAGAATTCTGGTGATGGTTGTACAACAATACGAATGGCACTGAATTATAAACTTAGAAAATGGTTAAAATGGTAATTTTTATGTTACATATATTTTACCAATATTAAAAACATTAAATTTAAAAAGTCAACTGAATGTGGTTGCAGGCTGAACTTTTTAAAAAAGTCTTTCTTGTTACTCAAACAAAAGTCCTAATAATAACACTAAATGCAACTTACTTATATGCCAGGGCTCCAGCAAAGTGCTTCTGGATATATGTATCCATTACTGGTCGGAAGTGGAAATACTTGATATCTCGGAGCAGGTTGATGATGAAAACCTGGGAGAGATAGTGCTTAGGTCACCAGGGTTCACTGGAGGCTTCAGACCTATCTCTAGCCAGAAACAGATTATCTTTTTCAAGGAATGCAAACTGTCAGTGTTTTGTCTATTGTTCCCCATGGGAAATAACTATAAGATTTCCATTCTCTGTTTTTCTCTTCTCTCACTCCCAGTATCCCAATCAGATCCAGAGTTCATTAGTTTGTGCCTGTGTTATTCTGAGCCTTTCCCTTTACAATAATTTTGAGTAGTACAATATGGATCAAAATCAGGGACAGGCAAAACACTATCTGTGTTGTGGCATAAACACTAAAACTTGGAAACCTGATGGAAAAAAGATTGTCTTGTGAGCCACATCAAGCTATGGAAGGCTGTGCCCTTTAGAAATGGGGCTGGTGGCAAGCGGCAATTCCAACTCTCAGCTTGGTTCCTAATCATGTAGATTGCAGTATCTGGTTTTTCTTGAATGAATATACAGCCATCTGGTGGGACAAGATATATTAAGAAAAATGCACTAAACATTAGAAATCCCTGTCAGTTCTTACTAAAACAACCTTCTTATACTCTGAATCTGAAACAACTACATAGAATGAAAGAAGGAGAGAACCTCCAGAGACCTCTGGAACTGCACAGGGTTTTGGAGACTATCATGAGTGAGTCTCTGCTTTTCCCAGTGGTTGTATTCTACTTTGTTGGTGAAAAATTGACCATCTGTTTTCCTCTACTAGTCCCTGGGCCTCTTGCTGGTATAGGTCACTACTGCTGGAGCTAGGCAACCCTGCAATAGTGATAAGATGGAGAATTCAGAACTATAAAGCCTAGATTTAAACCTGACCAAGCTTAATTCTTCAAACCTGATCTTGGAGAGATTTGCTTGGTAGGTTGGTTGGTTGGTCTTCCTTGGGTGACACTTCTCAGTCCCTTTTCATTGGAAATATCTGCAGCTTTTACTGCCTCATTCTAATAAGTTAGGGTGTTTATTTAAAAAGTTTTGAAGCATGTGATAGGAATAATTAATAAAAATGAAAAATCAAGACGTGACTTACCAGAGACTGAAAAACCAGCAGGCCATATTTTTCTGTATTATCATCCAAAATCACGAAGAGTGTATCTAAGATGTCCTGAAGAAACTGAAACAACATCAAAAGCAGAGGGCTCACGGCTCAGGAACTTGCATGCATGGTCAAATTCCCATATACCAGTGAATTTCACTCTTAATAAAATGAAATATCTAGAATCTTAAAACAGGACTTAAAAACTGTCTTGTATCCTGTCTTCACCTAGCTAAGGGATAAGTAGGTGGACAGGGGGGTGTTTATAGCCCAAAGACTCTGAAAAAGACCTAGGAAGCTCTTCCTGTTGAATAGGTTCTAAATCTATAAGGAAAGAGCTATTAACTTAGACAAACAAACAAAGAAATAAATAAATTGGACACCCAGGCAGAATAGCAGATTCTGATGCAAAATTTGAGAAAAAGAGCTCAATTTCTTGGGTCTTCACAGAGCTTACCAGTCCCTTACTCTCTACTGTGACCTAAATATATAGGGTACATTTGGATGAGGTGTGGCAAGTTAGACTTTACCTACAGTAACTATTTTTTAGTTTAGGAATTAGTATTCTAGGAGAAGGGAGAAGGCAGCCAATGAGGACTCTCAGTGAAAGTAAAAGAAATCTGAGAGTGTTCTTTATTGCTGTTGCTTTTTGAACATATGGCTTTTTTCTTCTTTTTTAAGTTAAAAAAGAGAGAAACTAATAAATACTGATAGATCCTTAGAGTCTAAAAAGCAAATATAATACTTTGCCAGTCAAATCCCAAGTTAAATGATATAATATTTATAATTTATTTCAAACAATATGAAGTGGAAGTGTAGATTAGAGTGTTGATGGGTCAGGTAACGAGTTAGTGGTTCTTGGAATTAGATGAGGGATACCCATAGGACTCTTTTTATACTATTTTCAACTATTGGGTAAGCTTGAAATTTTTCTAGTAAAAAAGTTTAAAAATTAAAAACGTCAGCATATGCTCTTTATATTCTCTTCTGGTGAATCAAGACAAATTACTGATATTAAAACCTGATATGCGGGGGGCTGGGGTTGTCGCTCAGTGGTAGAGCACTCGCTTAGCACGTGCGCGCCCTGGATTCAATCCTCAGCACCGCATAAAAATAAATAAAGGTATTGTGTCCAACTACAACTAAAAAATAAATACTTAAAAAAATTCTTAAAAAAATAAAATAAAGCTTGATATGCTGGTAGGATGTTTTCTTGTCAGGAATATGACAATTCCTTCTCTTTTTTGTATTAGGGATTGAACCCAGGGGCGGTTAACCACCAAGCCACATCCCCAGCCCTTTTTTATATTTTATTAGAGACAGGGTCTCCCTGAGTTGCTGAGGCTGGGTTTGAACTTGCAATCCTTCTGCCTCAGCCTCCCAAATTGCTGGGATTACAGGTGTGTGCCATCGTGCCTGGCTATGACAACTCTTTCTTAAGAAGACTACAGATTTCTTAATACCTTATCTGCAAACCTAATATTTTTATGTGTAAAAGGAAAATATGAGTATCAATTTATCTCAGATTTCAAAACTACTATTAGTCTATGAAGAATTTTTAAAAAATTCTATGATAATTAGATCAATTCATTAAAACCAAATTCATACATTAACTTTATAAAAGTACAGACTTTAAAAACTAGAGCTCTGAAATGAAAGTATAGACTGTGCATCTATGCTAACTGATTTGTGATGGCAGAGCTAAGGAAGCTCATTATGAACAGAATGTCTTCTCAAGATTTAATCTGTAGCCTATATTCTGTTGCTCTTGCTGATGATTGAAAGCATCTCCACCTTCCTCAGTAGAGTTCAGTTTGTTGTGTGTAATTCACCTACTGGGTTTTCACCACCAGCAAGTGTCTGGGTGGGCTTACGTTACAAATGGGTGGCCTAGAGAGGTCATATAAAAACAACTGGGAACTGGTGGTATTGCTGTCAGCCTGCTTAAGGTCATTAGATGAGAAATGTCATAAAGGTATCTGGAGGAAGCAGTTGAGGTAGGTGGGTAAAGGTTTCATTAGCATGGACTTGAAGTGAGAGATGGGGCAAAATCAGCAGCTACAGATGAATGAATATTATTCAGAGTTTGAATAATTAGGAAAGTAGACCCAGAAAGACATTAGGTTTGGGTTGAGGTAAAAGGTTTACAAAGTAAGGAAAATGAGAAAGAGGCCTAAAAGAAGGCAGAAGAGACCTGAAGGAATATAGGCAGCAAAAAACACAGGGATTGGTTTTGGGAGGATGCTTTTACCACTGCCCTTTACTAATAATTTTTCTCTCAGTGAAGAAAATGGGTTTATAATTATAATTAAAATATAGTCTTTAAAAGGTTATAAACTTGGTATGATAAATACTTTTTTTCTTTTTGTGGTACTAGAGATGGAAGCTAGGGCCTGTGCATGCTGGGCAAGTACTCAACCCCAGCCATTTTAAATTTTATTATGAAAAAGGGTCTTGCTAAGTTGCCCAGGCTTGCCTCAAACTTGTAAACCTCTTACTTCCCAGTCCAAGTAGCTTGGATTACATCTGGCTATACACTTTTATTAAAAACTAGCTAACAACAAACTGAAACAAAATGAAACAGAACAAGAAAAACCTCCAAGATATTCCTATTCATCTATTACGTATCTGGAGAAATAGCCTTAGAGGCTTACTAGCAGAAATCACGGGGAGTTAACGTCTTTTACCCAGATTCTTTCCCAGCAGTATGTTTGCACAAAATAAAAGACATACCTTAACAATTTCCTCCCCACTGACATGCCGCAGCCTCCCTAGGATGTCCATGATCCGGTCTGGAAAGGCCTTCCATTTCAGTAGAGCAAGGAGGTCCACTAGAAAGCAAGCCCAAAAGATGGTGAATCCTGGCTCTTTCAAGGTTGAGCAAGGCCAAGACTCCCCAAGACAAGAACAGGTGAAATCCAGAGGAAGAGAACTAGCCATGAGCATCATAATGGACTCTTTAATGCTAAGGTCAAGGCCAAGATCTATCTGTGCACCCTGTATGTGCACTCTGGTGCTACTAACACCATGGAAACCTCATAGGCTGCTCTTGCTGAGGGACTCCATCAACTTCAAAACAAAAGAAGTCTCTTACTCTGGTATGAAGAAGTAATACTCTCTTGTCTCCCTCAACATGCACTAGCAATGTGGAACCAACAACTGAGGACAGTGGAGGGCACCTTGCAGGCAACATTACCTACCATTTTGGGTGAGTTTGGTAGAAGAGAGCTGTGTGGAAATGAAGAAAGACTCTTTGGTGCTGCGCTGGAAGATGAGGCTTGAGGGGATATTAGGGCAGCCATTGTAGTCTTCCTTGCAGCAGGGCAGGCCCAGGTACAAAGCATGGTTGTTAAATGTGCTATTCTCATCACACTGTAGATGAAAAGTAGAGAACTGAAAATGTTTTTGGAGCCATGCCATGTGGAAAAATCAGGTCCCAGGGAATTTCTGAGCTGATATTTGCTCTTATCTTCCTAAGGCTATACCTTTTGTCTCAGGTCGTTTTGGAAGAGTGCTTTCTGTTTAGAAACTTCCCAGAACATTTTACGTGCTTTTTAAACAAAACATGGAAAGGAATGTGGCCTCCACCCGTTGTACAAACAAACTTGGGTGGCAGCTAAGCTGTGACAGCAGAACCATGATCTCAAATAGCAGGACTTAGAACTTAACTAGCCCGGACAACAATGGCATAGAGGAGTCAGTAATAAATTTTCATCCAATGAAGTGGGAGGTTGGAAACAAAAGGCCTGTTGGCATTAAAACAAAAGCCTGCCCACAGCTGTTCTGTTTTCACCCATCACAGCGCTACTCTGACTCCTCTGACCTGCCCAATAAAACCCACCTGAGAACCATGTGTGAGAGTTGCCACAGGAGGTGAAGGGTGGGGATGAAAGACAGCCAGACACCATACCTTGTACACATAAAGCTCATGAATATCATCTGAGAGGGTGGTGCCATCATCACGCATCAGGGGTGAGAATGCAAAGCCAAAGAGTTTCTTTTCCCCTTTGTCTTTTGCTGCAACCAGAGGTAAGTGTTAGCTATTTTTGCCTTTCATTTTGCTTTTTAATAGAAATTCTTTTTGTGTTTGTAACCTCCACTCTTTTGACCCTTCTTTCATTAACTAGGTAGCAAGCTGACTATAGAAACGATGAGAAACGTACTAGAACAAGCTTCCATTTATGCCCCAAGACATACAGGCTACCTAAATACAAAGAGAAACTAAACTGCTGGTCTTGATGACCTAGGAGTTCTTTGAGAAGCAGTTTAATAGTGCAAAGGAAAAATCCAAAGGAGAATGATGCTAGATATTTCAGACACTAGGAAGGCCCATGGTTCTTTTACACTCCAAAGAACACCCTCTAATAACATCTGATCTCTGAGTATCCATTTATTCCTAAGTCCTCCTTTTCCTGCCCCAATAAGAATTCTCTTAATTCTATTCTACAAAAGAGAGTTATATTCATATCTTCAAGGGAATGTGAAGGGGAGTCTCACTCACTGGAACAATGTCTGAATTCGAAGCGCAGGTGGGAGCCCCGAAATCTGTCAATGGGGATAGGCAATTTAATAATTTCTCCCCAGCGAGGACTGTTACTGTGATAGAGGACAAAGGAGTGATAGGAACTTCTATTTGGCTCTCCTGAACCCAAGCTGATGCAATCCTGTAAGAGAGAAGCAAAATAAGGTGTTATTTTCTTGAAGGGAGTGCCTGGATTCTGTGTATCACTAGGACATTTTCTCCTGTGTGAAAGTTTTATTTTCACATCAGGCTAAATCTATGAAATGAGAGTGTACTTGACTTAAATTTAATACTTTTAGAAACAACTGTGTGGATGGTATAAACAATTAGCAGTCACAATTGCTCCTTGTTTTCCTTGGGGCAGAAGTTACCACACACACTGCTTGGTAAATTGGAGGGAAGCTAGGTAGTGCATCTGAATCACTAACACAGACTCTTTATCTTCAATGAGAAAGGAAACAGTAAGTTCCATGAGAGAAGTCGACTACACAGCATTGCACCATATCATAAAGAAATACTAAATTATAAATCAAAAGAGCTTGCTTTCTTAATTTTCTTTAGTCCAGTGTAGGACTTGCATTTTAGATCACCATTTACTGACTTTCCTTGGATATAAACAAGGAGGGCCAGATTTAACTTGACCTGTTCCCAAATGTTGCCATGAAGATATAGTCCCAAGAGTACCTGGGCCTCTGTCCTGGAGGACAGGAAGCTTTGGGCAACATGATCAGGAGCATCTCCCTGACACACAGGAGCAGCATGACTGACTAATGGCTTTGCTACTTTTGACACTTTCCATGCAAACCATGGACATGCCAAGGTCCTTCTGTTTGGTTTTTAAAATGATACATAAATTACTGTTTTCATCACTGTTTCAACATTCTCCTTTATTTCTGGCTTGCTTCGGAAGATGTTATCAACTAGTTTTACCTTTTCCCCTTTCAAATGGGAATGATCCCTTCTGCTCTGCATGCCTCACTGGGACTGTTGCCACTGTTGCCAATACACAGAAGTGAGACTTATTTGCACTGCAAATGGTGCCTTGTTACTAACCAGGAACTTAACTGTGATATGTCTAAGGGAAAAACTGACAATATAAATATTGCATACCAGGTCTCTGTTTTCAATGAAGAGTGCCAGAGGATCCTTGTACTACATGAGCTGGAAATAATGTTCCAGGACTGAGTTTGCTGTTCTTTAATTCATAACTTGGTACCAGCCAGTGAGTGTCTAAGTTTTACTTATGACCAAAATGCAAATATAATTTTCTAGGTTAGCTTAAGAAACAAAAAGGCAAAATAGAACCTAATAACTATTACCAAAGTAGGCAAGTTCATGTGAGGCAGAATGGCAGAAGAGGTAACATGTAGGACAGAACTAGAGGGAATAGGTATAAATTGAAACAGGAGGGATTCAGGTCAGACACTAGGAAGAATTTCTGCAAAGGCAGATGACACTGGAAGTCACTATCAAAGCATACTATAGGGTTTCCTTGAAGAAAGGGAAAGGGAGAGAAGAATGTATCTGGGATGATTTGAGTTCAATCCTGCCTGAAGGAAATGGACTTCTAGAAAGACCATAAGAACACACCAGAATTATTACATTGGCCTCCATTCTACATGACCGACTGGCAAGCCTTACCTTCAGTATTTCTCCATCTGCATAAAGCACATACATGGTCACTTCAATATTCTTTTGTACACTCTTTCCCCCTCTTTCAAAATCCCCCTTCTCCAGGGTTAGGTACAGGTCATTACGGATATCACCTGCAGGGAAAGAAATGCCACGTCCTCATGACCATAGAAGTTACACTGCCCCATTTACATGGAGAAACAGGCTAGCATTTGGAACCTCAGGGGCTTGAGTGGGTGCTCAGGGCATTCCAAGCTTGGTTAATAACAATGAACATTCTACCAACATCAGTGCAGCACTCACGATGGTTAGTCATATGTTCTCTAAGTCTGAATCATAAAGATAACCCCTGTTTTATCCAGTGTAGAGAAACTTCTCTTATGCAATCTAAAACACCCCAAAAGGGAATATTTTAAACTCAGAAGGAATAACACTTATTAATTATGTCTGTTTTATTTACTAAAATTTATTTATTTATTTATTTACAATTCCAAAACTTTTTGAGTCCAAATGGAGTATATACCCACCATTCCTTCTGGAGACTTTGCTCCAATTACCTTCCCTGCTGGAGTGCCCAGCTAAAGTCCCTGGATGACCTGTCAGTTTTTCTTTGTTTTGTTTGCAAATGCTCTGGGAGTAGATCACTCTCCAGGAACACAGAGTGAAGGCAATGGGGCAGCAATCTGTTACGCTCTTGTTGCTTTCCTGTGCTCTGACTCCATTCTATTCGTTCATCTCTGTTACTCAAGATCTGGCAGGAGAAACTCAAACTATTAGGTCCAGAATGAACCAAGTCCCACCTGCCTTTTTAGGAAGGTGAATTGAAAGAAAACTGGGCTCCTTGTTCAAGTATAAGAAGAGCTTATTAGGCTGCTGTAAGTTTATAAATCTGTAACATGGCCAGTTTTATTCACATAATTTTATAAAGAAAGGCTTTTAACTTTCTAAAAAATATAGTAACACCATGGGGAAAAAAACTTCAAAGGAAGAAAATAGCAGAGGAAAACAGGTAAGAACAAAATGAAGATGTGTTAGCTGCTTATAGAAACCATCTAGGAGGTCACAGGAAGTTAATTTGCGAAGCAAGCCAATTCAGAAGGCAGACATTCTTTCTACTTTCAATTTCTTAGAAAAATTGGCACAGTGAAATATATTTATTATCTAGAATTGCAATGACAGAAACAGGGCTTGGTTTTGGTTAGCAAGTGAGCTTTCTGGTTTAGTCAGAGATAGATGACAATGTCTTTTCTGACCAACTCTCAAATTGTGGAAGCATCTGAATATCTCTCATTATTGAAATTGCGATAGAACAAGACTGGCACATGTGCAAGACTTTCTTTTTGGGTCTTCATGACATGTCCTTCCAGTCTTCACGTCACCTTCCTATTCTAGGAGTGCAATCTTGTAATCACAGTTATTTGGATGCACAAGTTTTCAAAGTATTTTGGCTCAAATAGAGAAGAGCAGCTCAAGATAAGTACTTAATTATTCTCTGGGAGTCCTGATAACTTTCTCTAATGTGTGAGAGCCATTCTGTTTTCCAAACAAGCAACTCTGAGGCTACCATGAAGGGAAGAGGAAAACCTGTTCTAAAAATCATACCTAAGGGCTGGGGTTATGGCTCATTGGTAGAGCACTTGCCTAGCATGTGTGAGGCACCACATATAATTAAATAAATGAAATAAACATCAACAACTAAAAAAATTAAAAATTATACCCAAATGCAACTGTTGCATATGTGGGGCATAAGAGGGTATCCATCCTTGAAGTCTGTTCAGACTTTCCTCCTGGGATGGATAGAGCCTCTGTTTTGAATGTGGATGAATTTGGAATCTTAATCTGCTTCCTCTGGGCATGCCTGCTTGTGATCTCCTAGCATACCATTAATAGAACTCAGGTGTACAGGTGGAATGAAGGTGTACAGGTGTACAGGTGAAGGCAGGTAGAAAGAGAAGGGAAACTCAAATTCATCAGTTTGCTATTTTTAGGACACAGAATAAATAAAACCAGTTCTGAAAAATACTGAAACTCCTGAAAGTCCAAAATTCAAACTTAATTGGGAACTTTACTATGGTCTATTGTTATTATAATAGGATAAATCAGATTTAGTTACACCTGTAATTTTTAGCAATTAAAACAAAGCCATCATCTGATAAAGGCTTTTGGTTTCACATTAGCTTTCTTACAAAACTTAAGTAATTATTCAATTTCTAGAATGATTTAGCATTAAGTGAATAGTCTAGAGAATTTTAATGTCTAATCTGAAGAACAAGTGCTGGTTTAAAATATTAGCCTTGCTTGCATTCTCTGGAAGTTTTTCTGAAGATAATCTATGTGGCTTTAAGATCATTGGAAATATTTTTTTAGGTTGTACAATGGCTTTTGATTTTTATGGCTCTATACAAGGTTAACCATGCTACAGTGAACATGTACTTGAAATGAAATGTTTTCAAAATTTTCTTAGCAACATATTACACAGAATACTAATATAAAACTGGGCATTGTCTTGGAGATTATAATCATAGAATTTGATCTGTGTTGACTGTGTGGAATGAGTTCACAGTTTCTGAGGAGGACATTTTAAGCCAAAATGCCAGTTTCAAAATGGAAGGACTGAGTGAGATAGTCCTACATTTTTCGTTCTTTTCTAAAAATAGAATTCCTTTGGTGATTGTATACCTGAGGGGAAAAAAAAATTTAATACTTACAAGTAACTCTCGGAGTTACAGACTAAAGAAGCTTGATTTCATCAGGTCTTTGCCTGTTCTTTATTTGTGGACCAGACCTACCTAGATCAGCACTGTTCTTAGATATTAGGCTCCCTTATGGGTTGCAATTTTGCAAATTATGGTTTCAATGAAAAAATGGCATTTTTGTGAGAGTTAATATTGCTGCAGGTGGGGGAAGCTTCTTGTCAAAAGCTTTCTGGGATCTTTTAAATTGAATTGAACCAAAACACCTAGAAAGCACGTGAAAAGCCCCAGGTCTGTCTTACAGAGCCTTCCAGGACTCCCCTGCTCTTCAATGGTCCTTATTGCGTGTTACATGTTTACAAAATCTACCAGTTCAATCACGCCTTTGGGTTAAGGCATTGGAGGTTTCTATAAACTTTAGCACCAATTTCCAGGAAATATTAACAGGAGAGGGATGAGGACAGGCACATTACAATGAAGATGGGAAAGAGAAGGCGTGAGCAGTGGTTTTGGAGATTAGTTTGCAGACCGCTGCCTGGCTCTCTGTATTTGAATCACCTGGGAAGCTTATTAAAATTGGATTTCTAGTATCTAGCCCTTCAAATTATATTGTGTGTGTATGTATGTGTGTGGTGTGGTGTGTTTAAAAGCACTAGGTAATTCTGATGCTCTCCATCGTTTACACAAGAAGACCAAAATATGAGGTCTGCTGGGAGGACACTGATGAAGTTTGGTTAAAGTGAAGGGATGGACAGCTCTTAGGCTGTATGGAAATATGCTGGGAGGGGTGTGAGGTTTTTCTGCAGGATGTGAAAATAGGTATTACTGAGGGTGGTCCTGCTGATGAGTCTTCCTTTTAGGAAGGGCCTTGGGCAGCTCTGCCTTCCTTTGTTGGGTGTTACCTGTTTTCTAGGGATGGTAGAGGATATTATATCTCAAAGTACTTAGTTCTTTCTTAGGTACCATGCAATAGAATTTTTGAATGAGATGAGTGAATTGAGTTTATTCTTGTAAGGGGGTCTCAGAGTAAACTGTCTCTACTGTATTCACAGCTCCCATAATAGCCCATGTCAGCTGTTGGTACAGTTGTGATCAGGGAACTAGGTACTTAACAGAGGGCAGGGGTTGGAAAACTTCCTGTATAGACAGTATAGGCAGTAAATATTTTAGGTCTTGTGGGTTGCATATGTCTCTATTACAGTATTCTTTGTTTTCACAACTCTTTAAAAAATTCTTAGCTGGTAAACAGTACAAAAATAGATTACTGGCTAGATTTGGCCCAGGTTATAGTGTGTTGATACCTGGCTTGGAATGTTTATATGAGAATAGCTATGCTACACTGTCACTATGCATCAAAAATTTCAACTCCCGAGAGCCTACACAAATAGCTGCTGGGAAGGAGAAATGTAATGACTCTGATGCTACCTTATTTTTTCATCTCTATTGATATATTTTACAGAGAAGCAAAAAGACTAGAACAAATTTAATAAATTCTTTTTATAGCTGTTAATTCAGACAAGTGAATAATAATTTCTTTTTTGCACTGAACTTTGTTTTAATTTCTCAAAACAGGTTTTTAAAGGTATTAAAAATTTAAAAGAAAGCTAGGCATAGGGTTATGTCCAGGTCCAAGAAATCACCATGGTGTTGCAAGAATGTTCTTGAGACAGGCAAAGATCAGAGTGTTGGGAAGAGTGGCAGGTTGGCTCCAATGTGAAAACAGGTTGTGTGTCCTCAAAACTTGCCTGCTCTAGCAGCTGGCTAAGTCTGCTCAGAGGCCATGCCTTGGGTATCATTGACAGCCTGATGCTACCTTATTATAATGGGAAATATTCTAGGGTCCTTATGGAGTGAGAGGTCTGAGAAGTAAACAGCTCTATTAAGTCAGCAGAAATCTTGGAGGACTGGGGAGCACTGCTGATGAGTTGCCAGTGCCATGGCATTCAGCAGTAATAGATCTGACCTTCCAAAGACATGTATTCTAGCATGACTCTGGAGAAAAAGAGCTCAGGATATGTTTGCAGGTTTCTTCTAAGAGCAATTTTCTTAGAGGCCTCAGAACTTCTGAGGTTTAGCTCAAGCACTATAGCATTCTGCCAGCAAGAGAATCTCTTGCCAGAAACTCCAGCATTATTTGAAGTTTGGGGCCCTGTCTCATATGATTCTAGCCTATGTAGAAATGGTTCATAAAGGCCACATAAGTTTGGGCATTCAGTCTGGTTTGGATTATTTATTATATTTATGTCCCTTCTATATAAATTATTCATACCACATATTATAAGGCATTGAGTTCAAATAAAATAGCACTTAATAGTATATTATTTATATTTTGTATGCATCTAAATAGGATTAGGAGGAGCTTCTATGAAGGTGATTTCTTTCCCTTGAGACCATAGACAATAAGATATATCTTATCTCAGAAGACACAGCAGCTTACATGGAATGGTGCCAATTCTATCTTTTTGTAGAATAGGAAGAAGTCTCCTGACAAAAATCATTGAGATGTGAAGATGCTAACACGTTACATGGAGTCTTGAACATATGAAATCAATGTTTTATTTTGTAGTAGTTTTTATTTTCTTGAGGGAGAGAAAGGAAAAATAACAATCTTGGGAGAGATTCTTTAGGTATCCAAAAAAGACGGGCTCTTTATTTTTCTCACCATGTCTTTGCGGTCACACTTCTGGTATCTATTACTATAAAGTCAGTGATGCCCTCTGCTCTAACAGGATGACAGATATGGGAATAGCATCACATCATTATATATAGTTATTCCTTTCTTGGGTCAGGAATATGATGATCTTTTAACCTCTTACCAGACCAGAAATGATCATTCTTAAACCATCCCTTAGCAATAATACCAAAGCATCATTTGACACAGATCAAACCAACATGAATCCATTTGTGACAAATCAGTTCATCACTTCCCTTGAGAAGACCATTCTTTCGAAAGTGATATCTCTGTACATCTGCTCTCTTTATGAAGTATCTCCTAGCAGGGCTGGAAAAAGATAAACTTTCTGATTCTGTGAGGCTTGGGGTAAGTACTACTCATTTTCTTTTCAGTTGCAGTAACTCTTCTGTCTCATAACACAATCCTTTCCCATCTCTATATACCTCAGACTTGTTAAGATTTTCTAAACATTCCAATATGTTCTCAGATATTAATGAATACCCTAAGTAATATGATGTCATAGGGTGGGCTGGTAGCTTCTCTTTTTGTCTTTTCAGTTACTGGGAAGGTGAGGCTGATGAAGGATTAATAATGTACATGACACCCCACCTCAGTATTGCAACATTCCATGAAACAAAGGAAGATGGGAACAAAGCAGGCAGTAGGCAGACAGGACACAAAAAAGCAGGAACTTACACCCAACTATCTTCAGCTCTGCATCAGAGAAAAAGGGGCGAGAATGAGGGGACAGCACAGAGAAAAACAAAAACAATTAAGACAAACAGGAAAAGAGATAGAAACATCACTGTAGGTCTGTGATGAAATATGCATTTTTTTTTATCAGAGATCAAAGAAAATTATAGTGTATTTCTGAGTACAAGGCAAGAGTCAGGGAATCCTCTAGAGGGATGCCATGTCTGCATAGCTGTCTTCTAATGGGCAAGTTCAGGACAACCCAAAGAGGAGGGGTATTTGCCTCAGATCTGACTCAGGGAAGAACAAAACATCTCCAAAGCAAAATATTTTCTAGGGCATCGTTCTCTGAGAGGTTTCCAGACTAGCAGCATCACCATCACTTGAGAGTTTGTGAGAAATATGAATTGTTGAACCCTGGCCCAATTCTACTGAATTAGAAACTCTTGGTAGTGGGCCCAGTAATCTGTGTTTTTCCAAGCTTTGCAGGTGATTCCAACACACAATAAAATTTGAAGATTACTACTTTAGAGAAAAACTTATTCTTTGTTTTAAAACAACATATTAAATCAAAGGTGGACTTCTTATGGCAAGACAGAGATCATTTAATAGAAAACTTGGCCTATACCACAGTCTATTAAAACCACAGAAATTCAAGTCTTATGAAACAGGTTAAAATGTTGTACTTCCCAAAGAGCATAACAGAGCTCTGTCTTTCCATTGACCCCAGGGCATGAAGTTTCCAGGAAAGATAAGAAATAGTGATATAGAAGATGTTACATCTCTGTTGGCTTAGACATGATCTGGATAATGGTACAGCCCCTTCTTGAACACGAGGTTTTAAATTATTCCTTTCAAGTTATGGTCTTTTGGCTGACAAGAGTTCTTTAAAGTTTGATTATGGCTAATTCTGATACATGAGTCACAGGGAACTATATTACTATCTACTTGTTACCCTGGAATATCTTTCTTTCCTGCTTATCTTCTTTAAAATAAAATCTAGGAAAGAAGTAAAAAGGTGTTATAGTTATTAGTTTCTGTACTGAACTAAAAATGGTCTAGAGAGAAGGAGAAGTACCCACGGAAATATCATGATCAACAAAAAAGTTATATGTGCTCAGTTTCAAAAAATGGCTTAAATTCCCATATCTATTTGTTCTTTTATAATCTAAGATGGCATTTTTTCTGGATCAGCATGCCTTTCTCTAGAGCCCCAGGCTCCCAGAACACCTATAGTATCACTGTTTTCTCTGCTCATTATTATGAGCCATGAGCAGAGCTGGATAACTGTGTAGTCAGGGTCTTAGCTGTGGCTCAGAGGAGGATATCTTCTGCTCACATCAACACAGTGTATATTTACACTCCAGTAAAAAGCAATAATAGGATGTCAGAAAGACCTTTTCAGAAAATGGCATGTTAGGTATTAGTGTGGCTATAGCCTATCTGAACTCTTTCTTATAGTTCTGCCAATTCAGTTTGACAGAGACCTATCTAGGCAGTTTGACAAAACAAGAACAACAACTTCTCCAAATGAGTTTCTGCTGGTTTCTGCCAAATACTAGGGAGTTATTTTTTTTAATTGGTGCATTGTAATTATGCATAGTAGTAGAATTCATTATATTATATTCACACAAGCACATAACATAATCCTACCAATCTCATTCCCAAAATACTGGGTACTTTTAAAATAAGGACCACAGCTTACAAGTAATTCTAATTTTTCATCTACTGTAATTTCTCAGACTTAAGTGTCAAAATGCTCCTAGTTACTGACAATTGATTTTCTTGTTCTTTCTCCATTTGCCCATGTGTCAAGAAGATGAAGCTTCTTATAACATGGCCACACAAGTACTATGAGGCTGAGGGACTGCTGCAGCCCAGGTATAATGTTCTCACAGTTGAAGAGTGGCTCAGAGGCAGGAGGAGGGGTGGCCAGAACTTGGAACAGACTCACCAAAGCACTTTTTCTGGAAAACTGTATAGTCAGGGTCTTAGCTGTGGCTCAGAGGAGGATATCTTCTGCTCACATCAACACAGTGTGTATTTACACTCCAGTAAAAAGCAATAATAGGATGTCAGAAAGACATCCTATTATTGTTTCCCAAGACAGACTGACCACATTTTAAACACACATTATTATTGCTCTATCAGGACCTGCAGGTGCAACTCTATTTTATTGCCCACGGGTGGCATACCCACTCTGACAGTATATTGTGGTACATTAAGGAGGTTGACAATTGTTAACAGCCCACAAAACTGTGAGTGGCCATCTGTGCAAAAAGCTCTTTCCTCAAGAGTAAAAGAGTGGAAAAGGAGACAAAGTATGCACAACCCCCCCGCCCCCTGCTTACTTTCAGTTTTAGCACTCAGTACTTCAAAGGCAGACAACCCAGGAAGAAGCACGCTCATATTCTACCCTACCCCAGATCTCCCAGGACTTTTCAATGTTTCTGCCCAGGGGAGGACAAACTACTTTTGCTTCACCAATGCCTGAGATTGCAGATTTCCACAGTCATGTTGAGCATAAACAGAAGTTCTTTGTAAAGCTGTGGACCAATGATACAAAGAAATACAGACTACTTCAGAAGAGATGTCTTTCTATGGATGAGGTTTTATCAGTGTAAGTTGAATTTTGCTTAAGATTTTGCTTAAATACATTGATTGAAACTTGCCCCTTTCTAGTCTTTGTTTAATTGTTTTAAAACCTATGAATATGTGAAGGTTATTAGAAGAGTAATATCAAAATATTAAATAACTTCTTAAAAGAAAGGAGAGGCTTGGGGTGTAGTTCAGTGATACAATGCTTTCCTGGCATGGGTTCAATCCCCAGCACTGAAAAAAAAAAAAGAAAGGAACTTGGAGTATATTTCTACACTGTGTAAATCTAGATAGCTAATTTTGAAAAGATCACCAGATCAATTTTGGTAACCATCTATTCTTTTTTTTTGAAGCCAGGCTGCCAAGAAGCCAAGGACTATGTTGGACTCTTCTTTTTCTGATTACTAGGTCCAGAGAGAGCTGAGGAATTGTGTAAAGACAGCATGGGAGAAATGTTCTATGGAATATTCACCTCTATAATAGCCAGGTGGAGGCCTTTCATAAGCATGAACTCTACTTAGCATTTAGGGATAAACATAATTGATCTAGTAGCCTAAGTTTCCCATCCCTTTCCGTATTCATGAGTAGAAAATGAAGGTTGTGCACAGCAGTTTGCTCTCATTCATAGTGTCCATGGAAAGAGGATAAAGGTAAAAGAAAATAAACCTATGCATAGTCAGTGTAACTGGAAAGCTGCCAGAATTTATTGCATGTACCTTCCCCTATGCTCAGGTCATGCTGCCCTTGGGTATGTGTTGGCAAATGTTCTCAACATGAGAATTGACCATAAAGAACTCTAAACAGATGATATTAAAGTGGTCACAATCAGTTCATTCTAGCCTGCCATGGCCATTTTAAACAAAAGGAAATAAGCTTTCAGCAGAATATTAAAACTCAATTGAGAGGGTAGGTCCATTCTTCCTGGAAATCTATTCAGATAACCAGATACATGCCTGTTCATTCAAAGTGTGTAGTTCATATTATTTGCTTGATATAGTTTTTTGATACAGTAAAATGTATCTGTGATTTCTATACAAATGAGATTCACTGATACTGAAAGCACATGTTTTAGTATATTCTTCCCCTTGAGCAGGAAATTTTTATGAGGCAATTTTCTAGTGAATATGATAGAAAAGTAGGGTACAAAAAGGCACCTCTCTGAAGAAATTCATGTTGGTTCCTATCATTCAGCCTCTATAAAGCCCATGTGCTGAACTGTCACATTACATGGGTGAACATGATATGGGGGCTTCTGGAAAAGAACAGATACTTACAAAAGCCAAAGGGTCACTGGTTGCAGATTACAGTCAGCAAACTGATTTGGTATGTGGAGGCATTTAATGGCTGCAGGGCTCTTCCTGAGCATAGCTCATGACCTGCCTCAAGAGAGGAGCAATGGACTCCATCTTCCTAACTCATCTATCTCCCTACCCAGCCCCAAGCAGTTCTGCCTACCTGGCATGATGACATCAGGAAATCCCAATTTTCTTGTAATTGCCAATCCCCTATTAAATACCATGGGATTTTCTCTTCGAATCTGTTCCATGTCTCCACGAAGAAGCTGCAGAGAAATAATAAGACCTGCAAAACAAAAATATTTTTTTACTCAAAACCACACTTTCACCCTATTATATAGTACTAGAAAAGACACAAAATTCATTTTTATTTTTTATTTTGGAATGCTGGGGATTAAACCCAGGATGTTACACACACTAATTGCCACTCCACTATTGAGATACATCCCTAGCTCTGGTATTTTTCTTGAGAGGAAACAAATAATACAGAAAACATAAATGCATAAATTATAATGAAGAAACTTTTATAAAGCTAAAGGAATTTAAGTCAAGGTGACCTCAATATCCCATAGAATCACAGACTAAGATCTAGGAAACTGAATTGCCTTCCTCTCTGTTCTCCAGTACCCAGCCATGGTCTGCCTGGACCTCAGTTAATACAGAGTGAGAGGATGGAACTACCTAAGTTTTACATTCAGGAACTCAGAGAAAGCTACAGACTAGAAACAAGTGTGACCAGTGAAGAATTTGGGTCAGGGTATCTCATATTCTGGAAATGAGTGAACTAAAATGTGCTGGGTTTTATGCTAGGAGTATGTCAACGTGTGGGAAGTAACTTGCTGGTGCAACTTTGCACTGGCTTACAAAGAAAGCAAAAAGCAGACATCATATTCTCTCTTCAGGAACCACAGCACCACAAAGAAAAGATGGGGTGCTTTTATGGGGCTAAGCATCACATCAGACCTTGTGAGAATTTCAGACCCTCCAGATGATCTTTGTTCAGGATTTAAGAATATGTAATGTTCCCTAAGGATGAACTGACTTCTGGCTCATTACATGCATCCTTGGATTTTCCACAAAGTTAGAATTTCCTGAGGTACACCTTTGTATTCCACAGTCCTAAGGGTCTTTGCTGGCTAGAAGGCTGTTAGAGTCCAGTTTCCATGGAATTAGAAATCATCACCTCTGAGACAGTGAATAGACTAGCTGTTTACAGGACGATGAATTTAGATGCTAATCTATGGGTCAGCAGGAAGCATCCTCAATGATTTGTAAACTTGGGAGTGGAGCAGAAAATAAACTTCTATAGAAGCGAGGGAAGAAAGTGTTATTAAAATGAAGGCAGTAATAAGCATAACTGTGGAATAATGACCTGGAAATGCTGAAAGGGGAAGATATAGAAAAGTAGAAAAAGAAAGTCAGAAGAGTCACTCCAGACATCATATAAAACAGATAAAAGTATTCCAGAAACTGGGAATATGTACTCTTGTTATTGGCACTATTTGGTCACCTTCCAGAATCAGAAATGAGAGAAGGTGAGGTATAAAGGAAAAAGTACTACGATCAGTTTGGTCCAAACTGGGAAGGCAGCTAATCTGCTTCTGCCTGTCCTATACGAACAAAAGTCCAGAGATGTAGCCAGGCTGTGCTAGCCGGTGATATGTTATAATTCCAGTTTTTCAACCCTCGCACATGTTTGCCCAAACTATAAGGCCAGTTCTTTAGTTTCCATTCTCAGCAGGATAAAACTCAGTTCCAGAAAAACAATTTATCAGGAAATTGGAAGGATTGGGGCTTTTTATTTTAAAGGAGCTTTGTTATACTCTCACACAGAGACAAAGAGAGGAAATATGGTTCTGTTCTAGTTCAGACAGAACCTTAATATTATTTCGTTGATTCTGCTAAACTCATATTTCTAAGAAACCCTGGGATTATATACATGGTTTCCCAGGCATGATTAGTACTAGGATCACAGTGTCCTGAAATGCAAACAATATTCCAGGGGTACTATGGTTTGAAAATCAGGTTTGGGGATTTTGACCATTTAAGTATTTTTTTTTTTATAGATTAATCACTTGGTGAACTAAACTACAATTAGTTTATGAACTTGAAAGGTTGTGGGCGAGAATCAAGCCCACACTGATCTCTGTAGAGGAGTGTAGCTTGGGTGAACCTGCCCTTTCCTCACAACCCCAACTCATTTATCTTCATTGTCTTCACATGGCTATCAAATCTTATCAACAGGGTACACAGAAATCTACTGACCTAGGAGCTAGCCCAGTATGAGCAAATAGCTAAGGATAAGAGAATCTCTATAATTTGAGGGGGTGACAGTTGGAGGGCAAAGGAAAAAAAAAAGTAACTTCTTTATCATTCTGTATTGGCAAGAATTCAGTTAAGCACCTAGTGTTTGCCTTAAGCCTCTGCATCTTTGAGTACCCAAAATGACCTTTGAAACAGACTGATTTTTTCCCCTCTCTTCTGAAATTGAGAACAACTTCTTTATGCTGAGAATGGAAGCTGAGGGGCTGCCCTCACATAGCCTGACAGACTCCAAGGAAGCCAAGAATAGAGATTGCTCCTTCCCCAGGCATGTCTAACCCAAGGTAATTACATCTACATATATATTCCCTTCCTTTTGTCTCTTCACCACCTCTTCTCTTTAAAAGTGAGTTAGCTCATTCTTAAGATATTTCCAAGATGGAATTTTGGAACAATGAGAATCTTTCTATCTTCTTTCAAAGCTGGCTTTGAATAAAACCCATTTTCCTACATTTTGACTCCAAATATTTCTGGAGCAATGAACATGGTAGCCCAGCTTCTTCCATGGTTGTTACTGCTGCTGCCCAGGAGCCCCTTGAGGAAAGCGAAACTTGTGAGGATGCAGATTGAAGGTTCTATGAGAGTTACTTCTAGCTTTGGAGCTACCCAAAGGGATTCTGAACAGCTATTTCTACATTTAAATAAGAGAAAGTCGGGCTGGGGTTGTGGCTCAGAGGTAGATCGCTTGCCTCGCATGCGTGAGGCACTGGGCTCTATACTCAGCACCACGTAAAAATAAAATAAAGGTATTCACCTACAACTAAAAAATAAATGTCTAGAGAGCCGCCCCCTCCCCCTGCACCTGCAAGGTAGAGGGAACTGTGACCACGCACAGAGCAGGCCCAGCGGCCTGCTGAGGGGCAGAGCCACCCCCCACCCCCCCCGCGCCTGCCAGGTGACCACCGACAGAAAAGGCCCAGTGGCCCGCGGTGGGACAGAGCTTCCAATCACTCCTGCAAGGTAGGCGGGCCTGCGACCCACCGGCAGAAGAGGAGCAGCGGCCTGCTGAGAGGCAGAGCCGCCCCCTCCCCCTGCACCGGCAAGGTAGAGGGAACTGTGACCACGCACAGAGCAGGCCCAGCGGCCTGCTGAGGGGCAGAGCCGCCCCCCACCCCCCGCGCCTGCCAGGTAGGGGAACTGTGACCACGGACAGAAAAGGCCCAGTGGCCCGCGGCGGGACAGAGCTTCCAATCACTCCTGCAAGGTAGGCGGGCCTGCGACCCACCGGCAGAAGAGGAGCAGCGGCCTGCTGAGAGGCAGAGCCGCCCCCTCCCCCTGCACCGGCAAGGTAGAGGGAACTGTGACCACGCACAGAGCAGGCCCAGCGGCCTGCTGAGGGGCAGAGCCGCCCCCCACCCCCCGCGCCTGCCAGGTAGGGGAACTGTGACCACGGACAGAAAAGGCCCAGTGGCCCACGGCGGGACAGAGCTTCCAATCACTCCTGCAAGGTAGGCGGGCCTGCGACCCACCAGCAGAAGAGGAGCAGCGACCTGCTGAGAGGCAGAGCCGCCCCCTCCCCCTGCACCGGCAAGGTAGAGGGAACTGTGACCACCCACAGAACAGGCTGAGTGGCCTGCTGAGGGGCAGAGCCGCCCCCCACCCCCCGCGCCTGTCAGGTAGGCGGAACTGTGACCACTGACAGAAAAGGCCCAGTGGCCCGCGGAGTGGCAGAGCTTCCAATCACTCCTGCAAGGTAGGCGGGCCTGCGACCCACCGGCAGAAGAGGAGCAGCGGCCTGCTGAGAGGCAGAGCCGCCCCCTTCCCCCAGCGCCTGCAAGGTAGACGGAACTGTGACCACCATCAGAACAGGCCAGACCTGCAACCGAGAGACAGAACAGGCCCAGTGGCCTGAGGAAGGGTAGAGCCGCCCCCCCCCCCGTGCCTGCAAGGTAGGCGGACCTGCGACCCACTGGCAGTACAGCCCCAGAGGCCTTCAGAGGGGCAGTGCCGCTGGCTGCGCCTGCAAAGTAGACAGAACTGTGACCACCGACAGAACAAGCCTAGCGGCCCGCAGAGGCACAGAGCCGCCGCCCGCTCCTGCGAGGGAGACTTTGCAACTATACAAGACCATTAAAAATATATAGGGGGAAAATTCAATAGCACAACAGTTTCACCAAGTAGAAAGGAACTCGAACAGTATGAAGAGACAAGGAAAGAAAGGACCACAAGCATTGCAGGTCAACTCAACATTAGAAGAGGTAATAGCTGCAGCAGATGTAATGTCAGATAAAGAATTCAGGATATACATGCTTCAGGTGATCTGGAGTCTCAAGGAAGACATCAGACAGCAAAATCAGACAATGAAAGATCACTTCAACAATGAATTACATAAACAAATCCAAGAAGCAAAAGATCAACTATACAGGGAAATAGAGGTTATAAAAAACAAACAAACAGAAATTCTAGAAATGCAGGAAGCAATAAGCCAACTTAAAAACTCAATTGAGAATACTACCAGCAGAGTAGAACACTTAGAAGACAGAACATCAGACAATGAAGATAAAGTATTTCAACTTGAAAAGAACATAGACAGCTCAGCAAGACTGTTAAGAAACCATGAGCAGAACATCCAAGAAATATGGGATAACATCAAGAGACCAAATTTAAGAGTCATTGGGATACAGGAAGGGACAGAGTTTCAAACCAAAGGAATGAGCAATGTATTCAATGAAATAATACGAGAAAACTTCCCAGACTTGAAGAATGAGACAGAACCCCAAATCCTAGAAGCCTACAGGACGCCGAATGTGCAAAATCATAAGAGACCCACACCTAGACACATTATAATGAAGATGCCCAACATACAGAATAAGGAGAGAATTTTAAAAGCTACAAGAGAAAGGAAGCAGATCACATTTAGGGGTAAGCCAATCAGGATAACAGCTGATCTTTCAACACAGACTCTGAAAGCTAGAAGATCCTGGAATAACATATTTCAAACACTGAAAGAAAATGGGTTCCAAC